TTATTTTTATTTTATGTGTATGAATGTATTGCTTGAATATAGGTAGATGCACCTGTGTCACACAGTGCCCTCAGAGGTCAGAAGAAGGCATCAGATACCCTGGAACCGTAGTTATGGATGGTTGTTAGGTGCCAAGTGGGTGCTGGGAATTGAACCCAGGTCCTCTGAAAGAACAGCCAGTGCTCTTAACTACTGAGCCATTTCTCCAGCTCCTCCAGTAGATTTTCACAAGGCTATACATTATCTTAGTATAGAACTAATCAATTATAATCCTGAGTTGATATTTACCCAATAGTGCTAAGAGCATATGTCATATAAAAACGAGAACACAGAGGTTTGTGGCAGTTTTATTCATAATCATTGAACATTGGAAGCAACTAAAATCTTTCAAAAGATGAGTAAAAAATTTTCATAAATCCATACAGCATTATTCGATGATGAACAGAAATGAGCTGTCAAACCACAAAATACACAAGAAACTTTAATGACTTATTCATCATTCTTAAAAGGGACATACCATGTGATTCCAATTAGACTATATCTTGAAGACGGTATACAAACACAATAAAATATTGATGATTGCCATAGTTCAGGAGAGAGAGCAGAGATAATCACATGATACACAGGAGAATTTTAGGACAGTTGAGTCACTGTGCATGGTCCTCTAAAGATATGTGACACTACACACTTGCTAAACCCAATCAACTTTATAATGCAAGGAAGAAACTTTACATTATACAAATTTATATAATCAGGAGTTTAGATGGTCAAAGAATGAATGTGGGCTATAACAAGATAATTTAGTATGATTTTTATAACTGTTTCCTAAATGTATGAAGAATCACGTCCAATTAGTAGGTGTATGGGGGGCAGTAACAGGTCCTGACTCAAAACAACTTTAGAAAGGAATGGAGTGTGTAAGATTAAAAGTAAAAGGAATTGTACATGAGCATATTATTCAGTCGATAAAACTATTTCCTATCCAGGTACAAATGAACAATTTTGTTATATATGCTATTGTTATGTATATATTGTCTATATATTTAGTAATGTATCCAGGTACTTGTGTGAATATCTCATATATGTATTTGTGCATGCATGTATCTGTGCTTCTATATCTATGCATTTATCTGTGTAATCTATTCATCTATGGTTCTATGTATTTATCTATGCATCCATTATTTATGTATTTATGTATCCATGTATCAATGAGTGTATCTATCACCTATGTAACTGTGCATTTATCTATGGATATATTTATCTATGTAGATATTATCTATGTGTGAATTAATGTACGTGTGCAATTATGTATCTATATATCTATGTACCTATGCAATTATGTTTATATGTCTATCTACCTATGTACCTATGCAATTATGTGTATATACATCTATATATTTATGTTTCTGCCACGTATGTAACTATGCATTTGTCTATGGATGTATTTACCTATGTAACCCATTATCTACATATCTATGCACATATGTATCTATACATATATGTATCTATCTATGCATGTATCTATGTCTTTATACTCTAATCAATTAAATGACTGGGGGGTGGTAGGATCCCTACTTTCCATATGTGGAGTGGGAATTTACAGGGAAGCATTGAGAAGAAGCTGAAATGGTTAATGTAGTTATGATTAGATTTGGTGACATAAGTAAGAACTCTATAATTTATTGTAGATACATATGGTTATAGATGCAAATATTTATGGGCATACATATCTATTTAGACTATTGCACGCATATACGTTTTTGCTCTACTTTAATTCAGCATTGTTAAGATGGAGCACACACCTCCGATGAGTAGGAGGGACACAAGTGCAAGAGAATATTTTATTACTTAAAACTCTTTGGGGTCATCAAGGTAGGTCAGTAGTGGGGTGCATGATTAGTATGCATGAGGCCCTATCTCCAGCAAAAAGACATTGATCTTGCCAAATACAATGCATGCTTAAAGGTACACATGCACATGCATGCATGGGGGAGGGAGGAGAGAGAAAAGGAGAGAGAATGTGGAGGAGAATGGGGCAAATGTAGAGGGGAATGGAGCACAGGGTCAGTGTCTTTACAGATGTTCCTAAATGACTGAATAAATAAGTGGATGAGAAGAGACATACAGATCCCATGCAGAATAATCCCAAAGAAATTATGTGGATACTCCAGGAGAACCTATGCCAGAAAGAGCAAAAGTCCTCACTATTAAACCATGCACTGTGTGCAGTGACCTCCTTCCTATGGGCAGCATATGGAAAGTGAAGAGGAGCAGAGCAATTTCACAGTAGAGAAACCTGGTGAACACTTCAGTCAGGTGATTAGGCTCAATATCGGTGGTGATAAATCATGTGGCTCAATGAACTAGATGTGATGCAGTGAAATGACCCTCAATTTGGTGATCTGCCTCCTCAGAGCTCACACCCCTGTGTAACCATCAGAAAAATTGTCAGGCAAATGCCAATAGAGAGGCATCCTAAAACGTACCTGAGCAGCACTCTTCCTAACTGTCAAGGTCATCAAAAACAAGAGGATGAGAAGCTGTCAGAGCCTGGGGGAGCCTAAGGAGACAGGACAACTGAATGTAATATATCTGTAGATGGGACTGGGGACAGAAAAGGGGACATTAGATATAAACTAATGAATTCTGAATAAAATAATATGATCTTTAAAATATGCCCTCCTTAACGTAACAGGCTACAACGGGGGAAGAGGAAATATTATTTGATTTTCAGGGCACATATACTATGGCAGTTTTAGTAATATAAAAATTTTGGAAATTCTAAAACATCTTGATAATTTTTTGGTTTGCTTATTTGAGATATGTTCTCAAGTAGACTGCAGCTAGCCTAGAACTTGCTGTGTAGTTGAGGATGGCCTTGAACTCTTGATTTTCCTTTCTCAGCCTCCAGAGTTCTGGGATCACAGTCTAGTGCTACTATGCTAAGCTTGTCTTTTGATGATTTCCTAACCAAGCATTTATCTCCTCAGTTAACAGGAACTGTAGCCTCAAGCTTGCTGCCGGTTGATTGACCCACACATTTTGTAAGCATTTACTTTCCATGGATCCCATACTATAGATAATCAGATGAACAAGTTTTAGCTTCTGTTTTGAGAACAGGAAATTTAGGGGAAAGAAATGAAACAATCAAAAGCTTGACATTTATTGTCACGAAACTAATTTTCTCTTCACGCCTGCTTTTCTTTAAAATATGTACAATAGCCCACCTCAAAAAGTTTTTAGGATCAGTTTCTTCAGGAGCTTGGAAAAATGTCTGCCATATGCATTTTTATAAAATTGGCCATTTTGAAAATTAGAAAAATATCATTATTATAGAAAACAATGCAACTCCCTTAAACACAGAAAGTGGATTGAAGGACTGCTGTGGTTATGAACACAAGATCAAGTCTGCACAAGATCAAGTTAATCAACATTCCAACATGGACAGAGGAGGGGCTAGGGAAGGTTAATCCCTAGCTATAGAGACAATTGATGGCTGTTGGGGGAGGGAGAGTCAGTTTTCTTTAAGGTGTAGCTCCTGATAGGTTGACCATGCACCAGTGGATGGCCACATACCCAGGAGAGAACAAATTGGACTCAGTAGGTTATAAAACAAAAACCAAAGGACATGAAGTTGGAAAGGGGGGTATAAGTGCTGAGAGTGGATCAGAGAGGAATTAAGGAGAAGAAGGCAGAGGATAAATATGATCAAAATACATTGCATGCATGTCTGAAATTTTAAAAGAATGAATAAAAACGTTATATTTTTTAAAGAAGAAAACAAGATGCAGGCCCAGGAAGATTTGTGCTGTATTCAACTTGAGTCAGAGAAGTTTGTTTTCACACTGTAAGTAGTAGTTAATGCTGAGACTCATAACTAGCAAAGTTCCAAGTATATATATATATATATATGTAACTCTGAGCTCAGCTATCAACTCCCTGCCATCCAAGGTTTAGGAAACTTTACAGAAGAGGGGCAAAAAGAACGTAAGACGTGAAATACTATATTCACCAACTCACAGCATCTGTGATTCCCTACACAAGACCTGCCCAAGATCAACCCAGTCAAAAGTCCAGCAAGGCTAGGAGAGAGTTGGCAGTTGAGAGATACATTCATCCTGTGTGTAGAGGTTGCATTGAAGATGCTTAAGGTTAAGCGTCTCACAGACACTTATTCTCTGTGTTTGATCAGTTCTGGTCTAGGCTCTCTAACAGTCTTATCTGTTGCAAAAAGAAGCTTCTTTGATGATCTGTGAAAGGTACACTTGCCCCAGCCAGTCAGGAGCTCTCAAGGCAGCCTCAGCTGGAGGGGGCCAAGATTCAAGGAGAGCTCATGGGAACAGAATAGGCTGCTTCTCACTAGCAAGTGGAGAAGGCCTGAGCTCTGGACTAGCAAGGCTGGAGATGGTCCAGTAGATCGTGATTAGCACAGAAACCCACAATTGGCCAATGTGCCGATGTGCTTATCCATGAATATAACATCTCCTTCAAACCTCTGTCTTCCAAGGCTCAGGGATCAATGCAGAAGAGGACTCAGGACACAGAAAGATTGTAAGAGGTGGTGGACTATCACAAGGAATCAGTCTTCCAGACAGCTGGTCAGTTACTCATATGAACTCACAGCAATGGTGACAGCATGCGTAAGTCCTATGCAAGCTCAAACAGGACAAAATTTCATCATAGACATGGGGAAGTGGGTAAGAAATCCAAACCCAGTCTAATGAACTTTTGACAATTGATGGCTGCTGGGAGAGGGAGAGACAATGTCTTACAGGGATAGGATTCACAGTGGATGGACCCACACTGAAGGACATTTGGGGGCACAAATCAGAATCTTTAGACTGGGTTACATATATAAGAGAGTACATTAAATTGGGTAAGGGCAGTATATAGGGGAAGGTGTCTAAATACCATTAAATTATATTGTATGAAAATAACAAAAATTCAATGAAAAATTTTAAGAAACTGAATAAGAAAATAGACTAAGTTCGCTTTAATCCTTAGTAGTCCAGACTCAACATTTCTACATCCTGCCTATTTACACATTCCTCTTGGTACCATTTTTCATGTTTTTGCTTAATGTCAGTGAGGATGGCTTCCATAGCCAAACCAAACTCAATGATACTGGAAAGTCCACTTTTGTAGTCACAAGTGAAACCAGCAGCATGCATGGCCACCAAAGAACCTTTAGAGTCAAATATAGGAGATCCAGAAGACCCACAAAAAAAAGTGTTCCTACAGGTAACCATACCAGATTCACGGAACACTTCTTGGAAACTTCTTTGGGTGTACACAAAGATAAAATGTGTAGGATCTCTGCCACCTGCTGGTTCTCTTTCTTGAACATGTTCTTGATATTTCTTTCCTTGCTCATCTTGAGGGATCAAAATATAACCATCATTAAGTTTCTGTTTTATATCAGGATGGTCAATCATATATATCAACCCATTAGATGGTACAGGTGCTCTCCCATTATACAGCCCTGCAGGTACCTGCTGTTCATTTTCCTTCAGTTTCAGGACAGGGTAGTCTAGAGTAGCATCAGATACCTCAAACCAAGTTTCAACAGAAAAATAGCTTTTCTCCCTTACTTGGAACTCTTCATAATCAAAAGTCACCCTTACATACTGACTGATTATGTCAGCCCGCTTACTTGGTTCTATGCCTTCACCCACAATGTCATTGATTACATGCCTCCAGGTGAAAATATGCCATCCAGTAAAAACAAAGCAGGTAGCTAAACCTTCATTTCCATTATTGTTCCAAACTATGAGCCCAACTGAGTCACTGAACTGTGAAAGAAGTTTGAGCACTTTAGTTGGGGTGGAGTTTTTTGCCAGCTTCTTGAAGTTCGCTCTATGAAAGTTAAATGTTTTCTTTTCTCACTTTCTTCCTTGATGTGTGCTCTGAGTTTTTCGCATGCTCTTCTCAGTGTGGGGTACTCTTCCACAATGTATTCTTTTAGCTCACGGTAAGTTGGTTTCTCTAAATTCTCATTCAGTTTTGCTACCCTAGGGCTCTTCTTCATCTCAACTTCAACCTGAAACAGCTTGCCCTCTAACTCATCAACTGGTTGGGTGTTCTCTATGATGGTGTCCAGGTTAGTAATGAGTTTCCAGTGGTCGTTTTCTATAAAGGGAAGAAACCTGCCATCCCTCTTCACAGCGTTCTTGATGGTCTCTCCTTTGAAGCCATACACACAGAGTTTGTTCCCTTTGTGAAGTTCCTCACACTTCAGAATTCTTTCCTTCCTTTTTCCAACCGCATGAATATAAAATTTGATGCAGTTAGTGCTTACCTGGTCATAACAGCTGAACACATGGTTATCTTCTCTCTGCTCACTTTCCATTTTGGAAAATGAAATTACCACATGGCTACTTTCTGGAAAACAACTGAGGGGTATGTCAAGGTTTATTTACCCTTCAATTCCTTCTATGCCACATGCCAACATTTCTTTGCCTTGGAGACTTTCTGTCTCTTCTTTAACAGCATTAAGAGTGCTCAGTGCTGCATATAAGCTCCCTGTCTTCTTATATGTGAGCTCATATTTCATTTTTTCTTTTTTCCTGTGGTTTACATCTAAGGTGACAGAAATTGTCTTATTCAGGGAAGTGATCTGATCCTGTCAATGCTTCTTAGGTGAATGTGGTCTTTGGTTTTGGGTGTTGGTTATCTCACACGGTCTTTTTCTAGATTCCATGTTAATTTCATAAATACTAAAATTATTCTGATCTTCTTTGGGAACCTAAAAACAAATGTTAGATTAATTAAAACTTTGACTACAACCGTAGTCCTTTATTGACCTTTTTAGTATGCAATTCGCAGAGTTCCTATGGGAAATTCAAAACCTATTTCAAAAGACTAATGAATAGAATTAAATCAGAGTCTAACTTTGGATCCAAAAATACAGGCTCAATTTCCTACATCAGTTAGTTAAATCCTTCTTACTACACATGTGTATTTCTCTAACAAATAAGAACACAACTGCTGTCCAGATGTTTAAAAATTCACCAACTTCTTTACAGAGTATTTCAGGTCATTATTTTTAAAAAACATAATTTTTATCTTGACAACTATAGTGGTGAATTTCACTGAAATTTTTTTTTATTTACTTTTGTTTCTCTGTGACAGAGTTTCACTATGCAGCGAAGGCTGCCCTGGAATTCACTAAGTAGCTCCTGCTGGCCTCAAAATTATAATTGTCTCTTCTGAGTCTTCTAGTGCGGTGAGTCTAGGCAGACATCATCACACCAAGATTTTAAATTTTATCTTTAAAACCCCAAATTCAGAAAGAATATACTACCATAATTTGCTACCAGGCATTAATGCTAAACAAAAGATCATTACTTAACTAATCCTTTGCTCATAAAAAGTGATTTTTAGATAATTAATATGCAGAGTCACCCAGCATCTACCATGCATAAAACTTAACTATCTCCTCTATTACATCAACACTCCCATCTTATGAATAAGTGGGAGAGATAATGACCCCTCTATTCTGATAAACATACAGAGGTATTGATTAGGTATTTCTGTAAGTACCCATTCCTGATATCACACAACAACCAATAAAGGAATTGAGTATGTGGATTCCAAGACTCAGAATCACATCATTTCCCATTGAAATATACATTCCTTTTTGTAAATTTTGCATCCATGAGTTCCATTTTTATAGGACATTCTCTAAGAACCAGGGAGGTGTAGGGGGCGGAATTAAGGAAGACTAATTAAACAGTAAAAACAATATAAAATGAAGATATCTGATTTCCTGTGTATGAAAGGTTTATTTTCACTAAGTCATATTCATTCTGGCAAGGGTGTCAACAGACACAGGCTCATTCAAGTGTCAGCAATGCCACTCACAGGTAATGGAAATCACAGTGTTGAAGCATGGTAAAGATGAAGCCTGTTGTCATTTGAAATAAGACTAACACTCTCAGTCAGACAGATAAAAATAATGTAAGGTGGGGCTGGAGAGATAGCTCAGCAGTTAAGAGCACTGGTTGCTCTTGCAGAGGACCCAGGTTAGATTCCCAGCACCCACGTGGCAGCTAACAACCATCTGTAAGTCCTGTTCCAGGGGATCCAGTGCCCTCTTCTGACCTCCTTGGGTATTGTATGATACAGGTGCACTTATGTGCATGCATGCAATACACTCATACACATAAAATAATAAGATAGAATAAAAAGAGCACTAGTTGCTTTTTAAAAAAGAATGTAAGGTAATAAAAAGCCTCCTTGCAGCCTCCATGCCATCAGCATCCTTGTCATACCCCACTGAGTACTGTAAATGACTTCCAACTATTCTAAGAATTTGGAAGCAGATACAGACACTTTTCCTTCCTTTCTCTCTCTCTCTCTCTCTCTCTCTCTCTCTCTCTCTCTCTCTCAACACTAAATAGCTCTGACTCCTGTGAGATGTGCAATCTTCCCTCCTTGGCTTTTGACATGCTAGGATTACAGGGGTATGCCACTAGTCCTGACCTGACACTTTTAGGGGAAGGGAAGAAGTATATGCAGGCATTATCTTACTCTGTTATAGAATAAGACAGAAACAAACAAATCTAGGCTTGGCATGCATTTTCTAGCTATGTGGATCTTCTAGCTTTCTAGAACTTGGACAAAGAAGAAACAATGTAGAGGCTTTGAATTCACATTTTCAAATGCCTGTCACTTATCATCATTCTTGATATATTCAAGAGGATTGTAGTCTCAGAAAAGGACATAACTGTTTTTATAACAGAACCTAGAGAGTAGAAAGAGTTCTCGCTTCATATCAAGAAGACTTACCCAAGTCTACTGTCTTGCCTTAAGTAACTTTCTTTTCTCTTTCTATGTAAACAAACTGAAGATAAAGCCCTCTTCATCCATCTAACAAGATTATAGTAAGAATACACATACAAAATATCATTTTCTAAATATTTTATTTATTATTTTCATTTTATGTGTGTGAGTGTACTGTCTACATATATGTAAGTGCATCCATGTCATTCAGTGCTTGCAGAGGTCAGAAGAGGGCATCAGATCCCCCGGTACTGCAGTTATAGATGATTGTTAGTCACTATGTGGGTGCTGGGAATCAAACCTGGGTCCTCTGCAAGAGCAGCCAGTGCTCTTAACCACTAAGCCATCTCACCAATCCCCAAAACATCATTTTATAGACTGTAAAATACTATAAAAATATAGGTTTCTTTGCATCACTATACTCAGTCATACTCAGAAATGATATTTCTACACTATGAAATAGCAGTAATTTTGTTTTTCCAAAATTTACTCTAATGTATTGCAGTTGATATTTTATTATTGTTGTTGTTGTTTCAGGCAGAATTACAATAGTTTTCTTCAAGCAAAAGGCTACTTTGATATGTCTGAAATTTGAATTACAAAACCCTTCCCCAATTCATGCACAAAAGCACAAAAATAGAAAGAATAATGTGGATGAGAAAGATTTCCCAGTGCATAATGAGGCAGCACTGTAGCCAGAGGTAATACTTGACATAGGACCAAAAATGGCCACACCTAGTGTGGATATATTCCGTAAACAGAATTTACAGACATACCTGAGGAGAATGATGCTGGATTTTCATGTGTTTTCTTAAATCACCAAGGTCCTTCTGTGACATGCCCTCGACACAGCTCATCATGGAGATGAAACAGACATTCAACTGAAACACTAATTTCAAAATGGTTCAAGTTACAGTGGTTTCTTCACAGCTGGCATATATTGCACAGAGGAAAAGATTAGCTGGGGTTCTCATCTCACCTTTCCCCTCAACTCTAGCCTTGCATGCCAAAGATTGCTAAGTTAGCAAGCAAATAATTTATCCACCAAGCATAATCACATCAATAAAAAGAATTATTTGTCAAGTGCTACACTAAATTTGTTTTACAGAAATTATCTCTGATTATTAACCCTCACAACTACAATGAAAAGGAAGTTCTATCTAGATTTCTTTTGGGGGAAAAGCATATCTTTGGCAAGGGATATGATATGCCGAAGCCCAGAGTCTGAAGCAAAGATAACATTCATATACAAATATCAATACCTCACAAAGAAGCTTGCAGTTGTGCAATTCTAAAGTGTGTTCTTCTTAAATTGATGTTAAAATCTGGTCTTCTTTTAAGATAGAGATGGTAATGGATGGTAAAAGGAATAGGTAGAAAAAGAACTGGGCAGTACCCTGAAAAACAAATGAAAATTTGGGGAGATATCAAAAAGAAATTTGAAAAGTTTATCTAAAATGATAGGCATGTTACTTGTGACTTTTTTCTTGTTGTTTGAAGAGGTATTTTTTTTCCTCTGTGCCTTTTCTTCACTGTCTCTCCATAACAGAACATTTTGAATAAAGAATGAAACTTTTAATAGTACTAAATACTATTAGAAGGATCGATATTTTCTTCAATACCACACTGTCTAAACAATGCTTAGCATATGTCAGAGCTTCAACAGGTACATTTATAAAGAAACATTCAAGGAATGGATGGCATAGGCAGGGATCTGCTAAGTCAAGTTCTGATTTTCAGGAACTACCTTACATAACTCTTATAACCTTGTGAGATGGCTGTTATTAGTTCTACTTTAGCCCCCCACCACCACCACACAAAAAATAATCTAATAGAAAAGAAGAAGCAGGGTGGGGGAGGGGATAATAAGGAATTTCCAAATATATATCACACTGTTGATAATTGTTTCTCTCTCTCTCTCTCTCTAATTTGCTTTGTCTTTTATTTTAATAGATTACAGTTAGAGCTATCATGACATTTTAACCCAAATTCACTTTCCATCTCTAAAAGTTAAGGACTTCATGTCATGCAATCACAATAGCAATTTTTTATTCACATAAAAATAAACAGATGACTAGAAATCACCATTAATTAATTTATTACTTTTTATCTATTTACTTTAAAGATTCATTTTACTTTCATAATATATATGTGTATGTGTCTATGCACATGAATGCAGGTGCCATCAGACACCAGAAGAGGGAGAGCTGTGGAGCTGGAATTACTGGTAGTTGTGAGCCACCCAACATGGGTGTTGGAAATCAAACTCTGGTCCTCTGCGAAAGCAGTCTTACCCACTGAGCCATCTTTCCAGTCCTTATTTATTTTTTAAGAGGGCTCTTGTCATGTAGCCCTGTTTGACCTCAAAGTCATCATCTTCCTGTCTCATCCTCTTGACTGCTAGGATTATAAATGCATAACATGAAATCTTGCTTAATTCTGATTTAAAAGCCTTTTATTAAAAAATTATCATCCTGTTGAAGAAAGAGATAAATTACCTATAGAATGGTCACTTCCTGGATTGCTTCTTCAAACAGTTGTTTAACTGATGCACTAAGTTAAATGGAGGCTACACCAAGACTGTGTTTATGCTCATAATCCCTCTATTACGGAGGAGGGGCCCTAGCTTTCTTTCTACCAGTAACTCCTGGTGAGGAGCTACTAAGGAAGGAAATCTTCTTAGCCTCTCTGGACTTTAGTTTCCTGTTTAGGAAATGAAATAGTAAGTCTAAATGAGATAATGAATTCATATGTAAATGTGTCACATCAATGTTAGTACTTAAAAGACTAGGCTCAACTATCAGATTGCCACATACTAGCTGCATGACCCTGGGCACATTAATTAGTTTCTGCTTCCTTTTCTTCACCCTAAGAGTAGTGATAGAATCAACCTATATTGTTGTGAAGATTTAAAAATACATAATTTAGGTATAACAAACCATGCTCCATGTACTGCATATTACCTATTATAGGTTGCTCAGCAAACATTACTGTTAGTACTATTGTAAATATACTATACAATAAGTATAAGGGAGGAACTGGACTATGTTGTAAGATCTCTGAGGGCAGAAATTTATCTCTCAATCAGTAAGAAAACTTGGGGGATTCCTGGCATCTGCTAGTGATTCATACTACAAACAAACTTTAAAAGAAAAAGAGAGTGAACAGAAAGCAACATGAATTTTGCAGTTCCCTGGCAAGTATTTGAGTAAGAGTCAAGAGGTTAAGGAAACAGTCCAGGGACTAGAGAGCTGGCTCAGAAATTAAGAACACTGGCAGCTAACAACTGTCCATAGCTCCAGTTCCAAGGTATCTGATGCCCTCTTCTGACCTCCAGGGTCATTGTACGACATGAGTGCACATACGTGCAGTCAATACATTCGTACACATAAAATGAAATACAAATAATATTTTTAAAAAGCACTCCATATCCATTTTCCCAGAACCCCACATTTTTTTCTAATATTCAGGGCTAAACCATGTTACATCAAATATAACACAGTACTTGCATCTACCCTAGAACAATACATGTTATGGTTGGAGAAGCCAAGATTCCATTGAGCTAAAGGACTTGCTTCTTTCCTTCAATAAAGCAATAAAACAACCCAGCCAGTTGAGGTCCCAGCTCCAGTCCCTAACAATTCCCCAGAATTTCTCTTTCTCCCTCTCCTGGTCCCTCTTTTCCTTCCCTCTCCATCCTCTTCATTTACTTTCACTTCTCTCCCTACCTCTAGTTTACTCTCCTTTTCTCCTTCCCACAATTTCCTGTCTTCTCTTAAAGCCTCTTTAAGGCTCACCAGCTTGACTGCTCTTTCTCACTTTTGATTTTCTCAGCAGCCTTTGTAGAGGCACAGTAAGCAGTAGAGCTACACCTTGTCCCAGCCCACCACATTGTTCCCTCTGCGACACACAGGACAAGAAGCGCCACTGAAAATAAACCTGTGCTCTCCAGGTCCTTCACATGGATTCCACTTCTGGTCCAGTCCTAGGGAATCCCCAATCCTATCCTTGGTAGTGCCTGAGACTCCAGGCTTCTAAGCTTTTGCCCACCTTGTAGAGCACCCTCAAATCCTGTGCATTCACTCACCCGCTTAATGCCTTACTCACAGTCAGAACTCTGGTTTCAAATCCAGCCCCTAACTCAGGTCAGCTCTTATAGAGGGAGGCATTGACAAATCCCAAGAGACACAGAATCTGGCCAATCATAGTGCACCCCAGGGCCACTCAGACTGCACCCCAGGAAGTCCTGAACAGCGAAGAAGCATCCAAAAGACGGTTGGAGGGTGGGTTGAAAGGAAACTATACCCTTACAAAATTGCTGTCTCTTTGGCCAATGAGTTTGTTTTATTTTATTACTGGTTTACCTTTTCTCTATTTTATTTCTGATGGGTTTTGGGGGGGACAGGAGTAGGGGGCCTTGGCTCACAAAAGTTTCCTTTTTTCCTGTTTTTGTTTTTGTTCTTTGAAGTCAGGGTCTCACTATGTAGCCCTGGCTGACTGGGAACTGGCTATGAAGACCTGACTGGCCTTCAACTCAGAGATCTGCCTGCCTCTGCCTCACAAGTGCTGGAATTAAAAGGGTTCTGTGTACCATTCCCCCTAGCAATACTAAGTTTCCTTATGACACCAAATTGGGTTTTTAAAATTTATTTTTATTTCATGTGTCTGAGTATATTGCCTGAATGTATGTAAGCACATTTTCTGTGTCATGCAATGCCCATGGAGGTCAGAAGAGGGCATGGGATACCACCTGGAACTGGAGTTACAGATGATTGTTAGCCATCATGTGGGTGCTAGGAATCCAACCTGGATCCTCTCTCTGCAAGAGCAGCCAGTGCTCTTAACCCCTAAGGCATCTCTGCAGCCCTCAACTGGTTATTTTCTTTTACTTCCAATCTTACCAGGGCATTTCTCTGCTAGACCTCCCACCTACCTCTCAGTATCTCTATTTTCCTTTGTTCTTTGCTTTTTCAGGCAGCGGTGGAAGAAGGGAACAGTTGTTCCCTGTGTTGCTGGTAAAAGGCAGATTTTGTCTGCCAAACATAAAAGTTTTTCAATATGTGCTCATAAAATGAAAAAGATTCCTTCAAGTGTGTGTTTACCCACTTTTACTAACCTCTAGTGAGGCATAACTAAAGAAAACTGATACAAACTAATACAACATCTACTTCCTCACCTCAGGGTAGAGTGCAGCACAGGAGAAAGTTGAAGGTACTGCAGAGCAGTGCACTGGTTCCAGTTAGAGACTGATGATGTCAAATGTGGGTGGACTCCCAGAAACTTATTGAGAAAACAAAGCCCAACCGCTGGAGTAATGAGGATATTCACTTCACACAATCTTGGTTGTGCTGTGGGAGAAGGGCAAGGCTGACAACAAGAGGCACCTTGAGGTGCTGAGGTCTGGCTTCAGTCCAGTCTTTAATGAATGAGGTTGGTTAGGATTGAGTAGCAGAGTAGGATTTGTGGAAAACACCACCACCACATCATCATCATCACAGGTATTTAGTGCACATTGGTCATTAATAACTCTCAGTTTCCCAGTAAAAAGGCACAGACTGAGTGAATTAGAAAACAGAATGCATCTTTTTGATGCCTCCAAGAAACACATCTCACTCTCAATAATCAAAACCACCTGAGAGTAAAATATTCTGTTATGTACCTGATACATAATGGTCTGCATTTACTGCTAAGGTGATTAGGTTTGGTGGGTAAACTGTGTGCTCCATATTGTTAGCCCCATGTCTACTGTAGAAAGTAGGTTCTATCTAGCTTTTGGGTTGAGGGAAAGTACATGTTTAGCCGGGGAAGTGATGTCCTGAAGCTCAGAGTTTGAAGTAGA